ACGGCCTCTTACTGTCACTGCTTTCTGACCTTATGAAATCCCTGGAATTCCATACATTTTCCCCATCAGCCGCTTGCCTCTGCCTTCTTTCTCCATCCACCAGAGAACCCACACTGCATAACTTGAATTACTCTCTTACCAAGTCTTGAACTTGGTTGTCCTTTTGCCTTTCTGCTAAAGCTGCTCAGCAAAGCCTCAACCTTGCACGCATCCAGCGCCTCTTCCAAGTCTATTCCAAAATTGCTAAGTCTAGTAGGGCAAAACCAGCTGCGTTGTGTGCATCCACAACTCTGGCATCTCTGTGGCCCTTCCCAGAGCTTCCTTCTTCCTAGTCAGTGCTTACCACCCCTCACAGTGACAGCACAGCCTCCTAAACGTACTCACACCCCTCCCATCTTAAAACAAAACCTTCCTCCAGCCCCACAACTGCCTCAGCGAATACGCTCGCCTCTTCTTAAAAGAGCTGTCTATTCTTTCTACTTCATTTCCTTGTTCAGAGTCAGTCCACTCCAATCTGGTGTCTGCTCCTTCATACTACCAATTTGTTTCTCATGAAGACCACCAGATACCTCCTATTACTGAGTTCATTGACCCCTCTTCAGTCCTTAGCTCACTGGGTTTCTCTATAGCTTTGGCCCTGGGGAAACCTCCCTTCTGGAAACACTCTCATTCTCTTGGAAACAGGCATCTTAAACATCATCTTCTCACAAAGTCCAGACTCCCAGGCCAGCACCCAGGACTCATCCTTGGCTCCTCCTTCTCCCTCAAGCCTCCCTCCACACTTCCAATCCATTAACAAGTACTGCAGAGTCTTCTAAGTATCTCCTCTAGAAGCCTTCCTTTCCTTTCTAGTCCTACTGCTACCCTGTCCCCCCACACTCCAGACCATCTCTTCCTGCTAAGTGCGGTCCAGTTGGTTCCAACTCATAGTGACTCTGCAAAGGGTTTCTGAGGAGCAGCTAGTGGGTTTGAACTGCCGACCTTGTGGTTCGAAATCCAGGACTGATCCTACACCGCCACCCCAGGAATTCTCCTTGGCTCCCCACTGTTGATGTTCCACCCTGGCTTCCTCCAGGTAGCCCTCTTGTTTTTTGCTCTACTTGAGCTGAACTCAGCAAGTGTGGTCCAGTGAACATGCTGGTCCCTGTGCTTGAACCAGAGTCCCTAGGGTGGTGTAATTAATGTGCTTGGAGGTCCATGTTCACCAAGAGGGTCCTTGGAAGAAAGGGGTTTTCCATGGCTGTTTTTTTGGAAGTAGATCATCAGGTCTTTCTTCCAAATTAGGTTCACAGTCATGACGACTCCCTGTGTCCAGGTCTGCATCGTGTGGAGGTCTTCCTTGAGACCAGGATCATGTCCACTTTATTTATGGCTGTATCCCCACTGGAATGCCTGATTCTTCCCCAAGAGCTCACTGAATATCATTAAATAAATGGTGTCGGTGATGAGGGGAGGAATTGATTAGGGGCTTGAATATGTCTCCTGCCTTCCTGGCTTTATTTCTGTCTCTAGGTTGCTCTGGGCCCACTTCTCTCAAATTCTCATCTCACTTTGATTCCGACAGAATATCTACCTTAGAGTCTGACTCCAATCTGGCTACCTGCCACACCCTCCCCAAGGTCCAAAGAGGGGCAGGGATTAAAGAAGAAAAAAGGGTGCTCAAAGCAGTCATTCCTGCCTGTCTCCCCTGCCTTGGTTTCTTCTCTTTCTCTTTGTTTCTGAGAACTCTGTCTCCGGGCTACAGGGGCCCAGACCCCTTGTTTTGGCACTCCCGTCTTCCCATATGAGTTCAATGCGGAGCTAAGCAGTCTCTCCTCTATTCTTTAAAGCATCCCCTCCCCTCGAGTTTCCCTCCTCCCCGCGCCGACTTCGGTAGCTTCCACTTGCCTGTCCGGTGGACACTTCCTTACTGGTCCTGACCCGGCTGACCTTTGAGTACCCTGGGTCAGCTGGAAGGAAAGGTTCTGCGAGAGCAGAGCAGCCAGGGGAGCGCTCGAGAGCTAGAGCGCCAACTTCGAGGGCGCAGGAGGATGGGGAGGTGGGCGGCCGCGGGTGGAGTCGGCCCCCTGGTACTCTGGCCAGGCTTCCGGGAGGGGTCGGTGGATTGAGCCGCTTGGAGATCTGGGATAAACCCGAGGGATTGGGGAGCCGCACGAGAATCCCTCCTTCTGCGCTAAGGCGATGCGCTTGACTCCCCTCCGAGCGGCCCCCACGCCAGCCCTCGCCCCTCGCGGCTGCTGCGGGTAGTGAAACGGCCGGAACCTGGGGAGCGCCGGTTCGGAGCCGTCCCCCGCCGCCGCTCTGCCTCTCTCTGGGTATCTGTGGCCGACCCTCGGCTCCCCTTTAGCTGGGAGGAGCGGCATTCTTCCTGGGTTTCCTCCTCGCTCGCGTTCCGCACCGCCCTTCTTGCCTCCCCTCCTGTACATTTCCCGGCTTTCAAGCACCCTTGCAAGTAACCCCTCGTTCGCCCGCAGTCTCCACAGGGATGTGACGAGTCCGATGGATTCGTTGTAACTCACTCATTTCAAGGGGTCGGGCTGGCTCTGCCTTCCGCCTCAACAAGGGATTCCTCACTTCCCTAGGGGTGGAGATGGGTGGGTGGGTGGGGGGCCGGGACGATTTCCCCTGGCATGAGATTTGTTTTCAGCAACCTTCATCAATCCTACACCCTAGAAAGGGGCGTGGTTGTAAATCTCTTAATTGGCCCTATCTCTTGGTGAGACTTTAAAAGCGTGATGGGGAAAAGCTGTAGGCAGAAGGTTGGACTGTGTTAGAGAGAGAACTGGAGTGGGAAATCTGAAGTAGCAACACTCCAGACCCTGGAATTCTTTTGGAAGAGCGTCTCTCCAGTCTCACCATTCATTCACTCGTTCGTTCATAAACCCTCTGCTCTGAACTGTGTGACAGGCTCTATATCCTGAGAGTGGCCCTTTGAGGGAAGTGCTACATTCACCCCCGATTTGCCGATGAGGAAACTGAGGCTCAAGGCCCCTCAGCTTCTTGCCCCAGCCCCTGGGGGTGGTGTGGTGTGGTGTGTGCAGAACCAAGATGTGAGTCTTCAGTTTCAGCTGCTTCTTCAGTCCTCCTGCAGGCTGGCCCAGCAGGGATGTGATTTTAGGGGGCTCCCTGGAACAAGCTCTCTCCACTTTTAATTCCCTGCTGGGTTCTCAGCACCCAGCCCTGCACCAGGCCAGTAGTCCAGGTGGCACAGAGGGCTGTTGACTGATTTCATCCATTGAGTAGATCACTGGATGAGCTGGGTCCTAGGAATTGTCCCTGCTGGCTCTACTGCCCATGCTGAAGTATTAGAGGGTTCCTGAGCTGCTCAGAAGTGAATGAACAGGATCTTTCACTGTGGGGCTTAGATGAATGAATCCTTTTTACCGGCAGGGACTCAGCTTTGCCATCAGAACAATGAGATGGTCTCTTCCACTTTTGATTTTCCACTATCCACTGGGTGCCTTCTGGGTATCTGGCTCTGTGTCCCCACTTTTGAGAGGGAAAAATAAATGACAGCTGCTCAGAGTGATTTGTGGTGTGATGGAGTCAAGTCTTGGGACTGTGGGAGCAACGCAGTCTGGGTGTGTTTAAGAGGAGGCACCATCTATACTGATCTTTGAAGAATGAGACTATCCCAAGCTTGTTTCCTGCTATATACCAGTGCAGAGGCCACATGGAGCAGATGGCTCTGTGCCAGCTTGATGGTGCAGGTGTGGGGAGAGGGAAGGTAAGAGGAACAATGTTTACTGCACACACCTGGGCTAGACACTCATCTGCCCTAAACACTGATAAGACCCTGAAGTGACTCCAGAAAAGTCGAGGGAATTGTTTTTCCATTAAATTTATATAGACTAATATTTATATGGACTGTGAGCCACAAGATTGGCAGTTCGGACCCACCAACTGCTCCTCAGAAACCCTGTACCAAGCTGGAATCAACTCAACAGCACTTAACCACAACAACATTTATTGAACATCTACATGTGTCCTACCCAGTGCTAGGGATTGGGAAGAAGCCTACAGTAGGTGCTTAATAATTTTGTGAAGAACTAAACTCTATACCGTTATTCCTGGAGGGTGTCAAGAAAGCAGAAGACACAGGCTGTGAAAGTCCATGAGGAGAGCGTTCTGATTAAGGGGGTTCTTGTTCCTTTACAAATGGGGAGTTTTGATACAGAAAAGAAGAATGGGCACTCTAGGAGAACCTAGCAAAGGCTTGGAGGCAGGAATGTGTTTAGATTGTTCCGGGAGCAGTGAGAGGGCAGGAGAGAGAAGAGGGAGAGCATGATTTCAAAAAACCCTATAGTTAAACACCAAGAGTCTTAGGGCAGGGCTCGGCCCAGAAGTCACCTCCTCCTGGAAGCCTCTCCTGATTCCAAGCCAGATAGGTACCTCCCCTGGGTTCCTTCCGGTGCTTTGTGTCCCCTGACACAGCACGGTCATTTTGTCTGTAACTGCTTTTATGAGTTTCCCTCAAGGACATGGCCCATCACATTCACTTCTGCCAAGGATCAGTCCCTGAGGAATCGCCCTGGAGTTTCTGAGATTCTGAAAAGAACCTGGGCCTGCCCTTTATCTGGTGAGTTCTAGAAACACAGGACTCAGCCGGGGTCCTATCTGTGATCTTTGTGGGTCTGTGGACTACTTGTTTGGCTAGGATAAAGCAAGGGACTGGGCATCTGGTTGTCTTCAGGGTCCAGGGACCCAAATTCCAGAGAAATCTTTCCATAGTTCAAAAAGGGAAGAACAAAAAGGGCTGCAGTTCAGAGAAGAAAAACCAGGTAAAGAGCCTGAAACACAGGATCCCTGTGGGGCCCCCTGGGATACCCATATCAGGTCCTGCTCAGTTACGACATGGAATCCACTCAGAAGACTCTTGGCTGCATCTGGATTCTCTGGGACTTGGTTCACCTCTGGTTATGGATCTTCTAACTAGAGTGCTCTGAGGCAGGATGGCAGGTGAGGTGGGAGGGCAGAGCAAGGGACAAGAACCCAGCTCCTCAGCCCTCCTCAGCACCCCGGCCCCCGGGCTTCAGCTTCTCCAGGGTCCTGCTCACAGTAGACAGGCTGCTGCGAGTTCCTGGGGGAGAAACCAGGGACAGGAGCTGGTTGAGTAGACAGAAATCCACAGAGTTGTTGGAGTCAGAGGGATTGGCAGAGCTGGGATAGAATGAGAGAGTGGAGCAGCCCAGTATAAAAAACTTGGATGGTTAAAATGGCCCTTCAAGAGGGGAAGCAGCATATTGTGCGGTTTAGAGGCAGACAGAACCCCAGAGCCAACTGACTAGGGTTGAGTTCCAGCTCTACCATTTCCCAGCTGTGTGATTGAGGTCATGTTCCTTCACTTCCCTGTGTCTCAGTTGCTCCATTTATTAAATGGTGCTTATTTTAATATCTTATCTTATGGCCGTTGTTAAATTTAAATGAGTTGATCCCTATAAAGTGCTTAAAACCATGTCTGGAATGGGACTGCTTGCTGAGTATTAGGCAGCTCATTCGTGGAAGAGACTGTGGACTGGCTACATGTGAGAAACTTCTGCCCTAAAATTTTCTAGTATGGAGGGAGGGGGAGACAAGAATATATTCAATTTTAGGTACCAGCTCTAAGAGTTAAATTTCACAATGTAAGAAGTTAGTGGGGGAAATAAACTGGGACATGGGACATAGGGGAAGAGGCAGTGAGGTACCCTTTGCCCTAGAGTCTATGCCAGGTATGACTGAGAGGACTCTGGGACCAAAAGGAAATCAGCTCAGCTTGGAACAAGAAGGATTTTGATTATACATAAGGAAGCACTGCCCCACTATGTTGACTCCCTGAGATTGGAGAAGCCCTTTCTGCATCCCTTTCAAGGCTTTACCCTGGGTACTAACTAGCTCAGCCAGAGAAGAACATGCAAAATGGACTCAGAAATTTCCGGAACTTACCCTCTTTATTGCCATTGGCGCTGGATCCTCTCTCCCCACGGTCTGCCCCTGAATGGGGGTGGATTCTTAGGTTCCCTGCAGGATGAGACAACCCACCCCAAGTCATTCCCAAATCAAGCGCAAGAAAAGTCCTCCCGTTGCTTCACTGAATTCCCTTCTATTTCCTGCATGACATGAGCTAATTGTTTTGTGGGGAGGAGGAAGAAATGGACTCCTGAAGGAGAAGATGGAAGATTTAAAGGAGGTGGGAGCTCTGAGGAGGACAAAGGGACATGTAAAACCCTACAGATTGATGGAGATGGGAATTTATATGAGGCACTGGGATAAAGTGGGGAGCTTTGGATCTTAGGGGATACAGAGGGTCTATATTGAGGCTTAGAGAGAAAGAGGCTGTCTATCTGGAAATCTTGGGGGTGTTTTGAGTGAGATGGAGAATCTCTCAAGGTTGATGAGAGCTCTAGGTTCTGTGAACTACTTCAGACACCTTTGTGGCAGGCTGTAGGCTAGAGTTGGCTGCACTGTAGTCATGGCAACATCTGCAAAACAGACAGAAACTCCAACATCCACAGCCTGGAGAAATCAGGCATGTGGGTTTGGGTCAGCTGCACAGTGGGTCACAGATACACACAAAGGGTCTTGCCCAGCTCTTGGCCTAGAGTCTGTTGGAGGCGGGGAGAAGACTCACCTATTGTAGGCAGGATGTGGTCCAAGTTGAATCGAGCCTTCAGGAAGGGGTAGGCGAAGAGGAGGAGCCCTGGGAAGACGGGTACAGAGGGATTCTGTGTTGGGGATGCTGGGTCAGTGTGAGGCGTGGGAGACTGTGGGTAGGATGTGAGTCTGGGGGTCTTTGAGCATGCAGGGGAAGAGCGAGAGTATATAGGGTTAGGTCTGCAGGTATGTAAATGTGGGTCTGTGAGTGACTGTGTGGTGCAGTTCACCCTGCCCCACTGTGCCTTCGTGGGTTGCCCAGGGCCTTCTGTCCCTAGTCCCTACATGCAGTCCCAGGAAGGAGTGGGGGTAGAGTACAGATCTGGGGAGGGGGCCCCAAGCTCCTGGTCCACCCTGCCCAGATGAAGAGCAGGTTAACTTCTTTACCCTCTCGTCAGGCTAGCAATGGCCCAGTGGACTCAACCACCACCACTCTTCCCTGCTCCCCCACCTCTAGGGCCCCCAAGGTAGGGCTACAGTTAAGTTGGGGGATCCTCAGCACATTCCTCTCCACCCAGACCTGAGAAGGAAGTGGCAGAAAAGTCAGTCCTATCTTGCCCACTCCCACTTTGACCCCAGACCCAAGTGTCTGTGACCCTTGCCTAGAATTCACAGGGAAAGATGCTCAGAACCCATTCAACCTGGAGTCTCTGGATTTGCTTTTGACCCAGGCTAGTGTGCTGGGGTGATGGCTGGAACTCAGCATTACTATGTGAATTCCAGTGGGAGTGGCCCACATAGACTGAAGGACAGATGGCTGGCCAGACAAATTCACTGCTGAGATAAATGGAAGGAAAAGAAAACTCTTGGTCTGAGTTAGATTCCATCTTGGCCCAGAGGGTCCCACTGGGAACTCTCTCCATTTTTTTTTTTTTAATGTTTTATTATGAATTATGTGATAGTTTACATGGGAGAACATTAGTTTTACATTCATCCTATTGTATATCATTTCCTACAAGCCTGCCCCCTACCCCCCTGTTGTCAGCTCACAACCCCTCTCCCTCTCTGGTTCTAAAGTCCTCAGCCCCTCCAGATAGGGAGACGTCATCATCTCTGCCTCCATCTCAGGCATCACTGCTTCTCTGGGTAGGGTCCTGCTCTCCGCTCTTCTCCCTTCATGGTTCCAGGGACCTCCGCTCCTAGACTACAAAGTTAATCACTCCCCTCCTTGCTACAAAACATCTACCTTTACATTTCCAGTCCTCACAATCAGTCCTGATAACAATTATTCGCTACTGTATCACAAAAGACCTATCCCCATCTCCTCTCACCAACCCCTCCTAGATAGATTGGATACTACTCAGTGGAGATTCTACCTTCCTCCACACCCTCTGGATCTAGGTTCTGTCTTGAAAGCTTATAAGCCAGTCACTTCTTGCCTTTGTAGCTCCCCTCCCCCCATTTTGGGTAGCCAATGTCCAAATTGCCCATCCCTATCTACTCTGTGTATGGAGGGGGTGGGAATGATCCTCGCTGTAAAAATTTGTTCCCTCTTTTGAGCTACTGCATCCATTGGTGTAGGTCAAGTTCATCAAATTATATCAGATTACTCTTTTTTTCCTATTCTTTCTTCTTCTAGCTGAGTTCTGATCATCCAGTCATTGAAGCCAGGTCAAGTGGGTATTATCTGCACATATGGGTGTTCTTGTGCATTTTCTTATGAGCTGGATGCTTCACTCTCCACTCTAGTCCACTGTGGCTATGTCACTGACTCTGGGCCCAAGTGTCCCCAGGTCTTGCCACACTGCTGGCCCACCAGGTCTCTACCGGGGTTCACAGGAGTCTAATGAACGTTGTAGGGCTTAGCTCGCAGCTTCATTGCTGTTTTCCCCTCACTTCCCCTTATTGGTGACGAACGTGGTCACAAATCAGAGTGTGTATTCCCATTGAGTCTTAGTCTTGAAAGGGGATTTGTTCTGAGGGGACCCGACCACTTGCCCTGATGTCTCCTGGCCGAGTAACTTGCTTGTTCTTGTAGTAATCAGTCGATCTGCCATTATTGTTTTGTATTTTTCCTGTCTGTCTTTCTTTCAAGAAGTATCTTCTGTTCTTCTAGCCGCTCCAGGTTGGTCTGCTTGTCCTTTCAAGTGGGAATTTCCCATCTCTGGAGATCTGGATGTGGTTCAGGCTTCCACTTATAGTCTTATGGATTGCAGAGGCTCCACAGGAAGCCTCCTTCACTGGGCACGTTGTAGCCCCATTTTAGGTATTCCAATCAGTTATAGGCAGAAGATAAGACTTACAAGCTTTCTATGGTGATGTTTCTGGCCATTCCTTTATTCTCTCCTTTTTTATCTGACCCCATCACCACCATCCCAAACAGACTTGTGAGCCCCGCCCCAAACCCAAGATCCCCGGGCTCCTGGGCTCAGGAACCAGGAGGGGAGCATCCAAAAAGGAGTGTGAGCTCCAGTTCCTTGCTCCACTGCCCCTCACCACCAGCAGCCCACGACAAGGGATTATATGCCAACCTTCCTCTCCCTCTCTCTGCCTCTGATTGTTGCCTTGCTTACACTTCTAGCTCCTATTCCCCTCAACTCAATGCCTGGTGACCCTGTTCACCTTACCATATCCCTGTCCTCTCCAGCATTTCCCCTTCCCAGCCCAGCCCAGCACTCACTCACCCAGACCAGCAGCACCAATGAAGACACCGCCCATGGCAGCTGCGGCTTTGGACACAGAGACACCAACGATGATGCTGCCAGCCCCCAGGCCAAGTGCCACACAGGCCAACTGCAGACAGCGGAAGTCTCTGCTGTTGATGGGGATGTCCATGCAGGCCTGCCCAAGACACTGTCTCCAGCCAGTGGGACCTGTCCCCAGACAAATACTAGAGGACCTTCTCTTGGATGTCTCTCTGTTGGAGCTTCACCTTTAAGGTGGAAATTTCTTAGTAGTTAAGATTCTGGGCACTGTGGGTTAATGCGCCAGACTGCAAAGCTGTTTGAACTGCAAGGTCGGCGGTTCAAGTTCACCAGCTGCTCCTCGGAAACCCTATACAGGGTCACTATGGGTCGCAGCCGATTCAAGGGCACTTCACAACAACAACAACAACCCCTGGATTAATATGCAAAATTATCCCATAGCTCTCCCAGGGATCCTCTTCAGCCCTACCTTAGCCTGGGTCTATACCAGGAAACTCCCAGCTTACTCTTCCTCCCTTAAAGGCCTCTGAAGCTGAAGGTCACTCTCAGGGCTCCTACCCGGCCACATTTCTGCCTTGTTTTAGCCTCTTCCCAGAAGAGTTCAGTTTAGTTGTCACTGAGCCTTGGCTGATTAAAGTTTAAAGTGAAGAGGTGGGAGGGGTGGAATGGGAGTTATTGGTCCAGGGGACTGGGTTCCTCAGAGATGTAGGCAGCAGGAAGGCACTGAGTTATTCATGAAGTTGCAATGTGAGCTGTTGCTTGGGTTCCAGAGGCCCTCTGGGGCAGCCAGCCCACGTTCCACCATTTATTCCTGAGGAGGCAAGATGAGTTAGGGTCCAGAGCCCAGGGATGTGAGGAAACTCCCAGGTCACATGATTAGGACTCACTACTGTGTTCTGACCCCTGACCTGGTGGTACAACTGGGGCCTGTGCTTAAATACTAGGAGACACAGACAATGCTTAAGAGCAGAGACTGGAACAAAAAAAAGAGACCTTCCATTTTCTTCCCTTGCTTTCTTCCTCCTTCCTCTATTCCATCAATCTCTGGGTTTCCAGGCATGGTTGAGGGTCCTAGTTTGAGACTTAATTTCAAAGGACCTATGGAGTCCTGGTGTGGTGCTGTGGGTTAATACACCAGACTGCAAAGCCGTTTGAACTACAAGGTTGGTGGTTCAAGCTCACCAATCACTCCTTGGAAATTCTATACAGGGTTGCTATGGGTCGGAACCGACTCGACAGCACTTAACAACAACAACATTCCTCTTTAGGTAAGCTTGGTATCTGCTCCCCTTTTAGCTGCCAGGGGATTGAGATCCCAGCCTCCTTCCAAATCCCTTGCTGGGGACTGACAGGGAAGTGCAGTGGCCATGGTGGGCCTGGGGCAGGAGGAAAACACATACTGGGTAGGATTGGGAAGGGGAATTGGCAGGAAGGCTGGGAGCAGGAGGCTCTTGACCTCCAGGATAGAGTAATTCTAACCCAGCCCGGCTGACCCACTGGCAGGATCCAGCAGTGGTAACCCAACCCAGCTAGCCTTGAACCCTATCCTTGGATCTAATTCCAGCATTGATCCTTAGCTATATTCTCTAGCTCTTTATGAAATAGCATCTCCCTAATGCCACAATATTTTTAATAAATATAAAATAAAACATTTACTGATAATGATCAAAGAGCACAGCCTTTGGTATAGATTACATCTCAATGTCAAGAAAACAAAATCATTACCACTGGACCAATAAACAACATTCTTATTAATGGAGAAAAGATTGAAGTAGTCAAGGACTTCATTCTTCTTGGAATAACTATCAACACTCAAGGAAGCAGCAGTCAAGAAAGCAAACAACGTACTGCATTAGGCAAATCTGCTGCACAAGACCTTTTTAAAGTGTTGAAGAACAAAGATGTCAGTTTGAAGACTGAAGTGTGTCTGACCCAAGCCATGGTATTTTCAATAACCTCATATGCATGCGAAAGCTGGACAGTGAATAAGGAAGACCATAGAAGAATTGATGCATTTGTTGGAGGTTATGGTGTTGGAGGAGAATATTGAAAGTGCCATGGGATGCCAAAAGAACCAACAGATCTGTGTTGGAAGAAGTATAGCCAGAGTGCTCCTTGGAGGCCAAGATGGCCAAACTTCATCTCTCATACTTTGGACATATTGTCAGGAGGGACCAGTCGCTGGAGAAGGATATCATGTTTGGTAAGGTGGAGGGTCAGAGAAAAAAGAGGAAGACCCCCAATGAGATGGATTGGCCAAGTGGTAGCATCGATGGACTCAAGCATGGCAATAGTAGGGAGGTTGGCCCAGGACCCGGCAGTGTTTCGTTCTGCTGTGCATAAGGTCACTATGAGTTGGTATCGACTTGATGGCACCTAACAACAACAATCACACAATATGGCCTTGGCCCTAGCCCTGTACCTGGACATAGTGCCTCAGGATTCCTGTTCAGAGTCTTCTCACTGGCTAGTGAGGCCAGTGAAGCCTCTCCTGAGATCTTCCTCAGAATTTTCTGTCCTCACCTCTCTCCAAACTGTTCCCCCTGCCTCTTAACCTCTCCCCTTTCCTCTGCTGCTCTCTCTGCTGCCTGGCCCCTACAGTCTGGGGACTTCCTCCTCATCCCCAGGATCCTGCTTGGACAGCGCCTGCTCTGATCACCCAAGTGGCTGAGCTACCACCCCTGTTTCCAGGCCCCTACTCTGAGGTACCCACATTCTGTCCTGGTTTTATCTACTTCCCCTGTCTCTGGAGGGCAGGTGCTGGGAGTGTTTGAGGAGGTCTCTGAGTTCCATAGGATGCCACAGTTGTAGATATCCAGATGGGACATTAGATGTGCTTCTGGTCACAAGAGCAGAGCTCGGGGAGGGCTGGGACCTGCACATTCACCATGGGTCAACAAAGAGGAGAGAGGACTTTGGGCACCAAGGAACCTCGTCTCTAACAAGAGGCTTTCCATGGGTGGGGTGGGGGCCTAAGAAGGCTAGGGTCACCTGAGGGATAGCACTCCAAGGAAGTGGGAGAGAGGCCTGGAAGAGGACAGAAATGAATCCAGATGGCATCTAGAAAGGAGGGGTGACTGCAGTGCATGAATGGGCCCTTGAGCCATGTTCCTGGTTCCCATAAGGACACCCCTGGAGTGGGCATTCCCTAGCCACTATCGCCTGCTGCCAACATCCTCTGTGCCTCCTGCCAGAATGAGGTCTGATTATTCCTCTAATTAGGCATCAAATGACAGCCCATGTCTCTGCCACACGTAATTGATCCCGTGCTGACTAGTTTTAGGAGCCGCCAAAATAATTGCCCATGAAAACATGCTCCTGAGATGTCCAACTTTGGGAATCTGAACACCCTCCACAGCCCTGCACCCCACTTTCCTCATCTGGTAAATGAGGATGGGGGTGGCAGAGGTTGGATTTGGAGATGTCTGCAGAGATTCTGGAAGAACACGCTGACTTCCAAAGACTGGCAGCCAAATTCTAAAGCTTTTCTTTGACATTGTAAATCCCTCAAGGCACAGAAAGATTTAAGGGATGAAATCTGGAGGAAAGATACAAAAGTCAGTAAGCATTACAAAACCATAGACCCACAGAGCCATCCAGCTGATTGAACAGATGGGGAAACTGAGACATGGGGAGCTAGAGAGATTGCTGTCAAGTTCTTTGATGGCACTTAGGTGTTCAGAATCCCTGCTTAGCTGGGAAATATTCTAGTACATCTCTGCTCCCAGGTTTCTACGTTGTCTTGAGGGGGTTAGAATTGGCAACCCCACCATCAGAGGGAGACAGTGAATTGAAAAGAATCATTCAAGCCCTTGATAGTGATGGCATCATGAAGTGCTACTGAAACTCTTTGGGGAGGTCTGTTGCTCCATGGATTGAACACAAATGGAGAGAGGAAATTGACCAAATCTTTCCTCAACATGGCTTTGGGCTCTGTCAGCTATGAAAAAGAAAATACATGTTTGTCCTTGGGTCATGTGTTTACTAATAGGTAAATGAGTTCAAGGACCCTGCTCTATGGTGACACAGATGAACCCAAGGCTCTAGAGCTCTCATTCTATTGTGGGCCCTCACCACCATCAGGTCCCCACTGCTGAAGCCGAGGAGCTCCTGGAGGCCACAGGAGTCAGAAGCATGAACAGAGCAAGGCTACATTTCTGAGTCCCATCACCAGATAAGTCCTCTTTGTCTCCTGGTGAGGTAGGGGCTCACACTCTTTCCTTCTCAGAGACACCAGTCCAAAGAGTGGCGTGGGGGTGGGGAGTAAGAGTAGGAGAAAAGGCCCTAGCTTGGCTTAGTTCTATTTATTTTTCTTGAGGGGTGAGAACTCTGGAAAAGAGCGTGATTAATTCACTGATCCCCAGGGGATGAGCAGCTTTTCTGAACTGTTTGGAAACTGCAGTCAGGGAAGCAGCTTCCAAGGCAACTGCTGCCATAGTAACAAGAGGGCCAGCCTTGAGGGGACTTGCTCCTCGGTCCCCTCCAAACCTGAAGCAGCTGGAGCAGTTGGCATGGGACTAGGTCCTGCTGGCCATGGAGCTGGGTCTGGGGAGGGGCAGTGAGACAGGAGGGAGGAGGATCCAGAGTTCAGGCAGGTAGGCATGTGGAGGGAGAGATTGGATGGTCAGTGTATCCAGGAGTCCTTAGACAGGGGACAGTTAGGAATCCTCAGGGTCTGGTTGAGCCAAGACTGAGCTGAGGCCACGGCCAGCTTAACCCCATCTCCCTTCTTTGCTCTCCCCAGGAGAAAAGTTGTCAGTAGCACCCAGTCAACAGCCCGACACTTAGACCTACACTTGCCACCTCCCTGGGAATATATAAAGGCCCTTGCCAATCCAGCCCCACCTCACCCTTCTTCAAGAGTGGTTCTGAGAACACAAGGTACAATGCACATGGACATTCTGTGCATGATGTACATAGGGCTGTGGATGTGGTACCATTTTCTTTCTTACTAACTCTGGTAGGACATCCTGGGCATACAACAGGCCTTCCACCAGGGTTCATTAGTGCTTTTTAGACAGAGGGGACATTTGTTCCTGCTTGGGGTGGATGGGTCAGGCTGGGTACAGCACACATCTACTAAAAAAGCACTTTTGGATGTTGTCAGACACCACTTCTCACACTTGATGTGGGGAGTTCCCGAAAAGTAGAGGTTGTTTCTGACTTTCTCTGGGTTGTGGTGCAGAGCAGGTAATTGATCAATGTTTGATGAATTTCATTTCCTCATTAAAAAACAACAAAACAAAGCCATTTCTTTTGTTGTTTGTGGACCAAATGAGATGCTGTCTGGAGAGGTTCTGACAAGGAATGCCGTCTCCCCACCTAGCTAGAATCAGCCCCAGTCTGGAAACCTGTCTGCCCAGGACTTCGGTGAAGAAAAGACCACCATGGCTAGAACAGAACGATTTATTAAAACACACATAATGAATAACAGTGCTGCTGTGTGCTACAAGCATAAATGTCTGTCTGGCACTTGCAAATCTATTTTCTTAATGTAACTCAACAGCTTGGCTGATCTGACAACGGGCGAACCTCCATGTTCTTTGGCAGAGGACCCACACCACGAGGGCAGTGGGGCACGTCTAACACAGGCCAACTGGCCTCCCACCTGGTTCCACTTCAGGCATCTGTGTTACCTCCATGCCATACCAGAGAGTCTGCAGCTGCTGCTGATGTTGCAAGTGTCTCTTGGTTGCCTATGACAGTAACCGCTTAAAACCAGTTAAAATAATAAGGAAAAGGAGATTAAAACCCAAATGCATGGACATTCAGGGAAGAAGAGCAAGCATTACATACTGTGGAAAATTCACGGGCTTGCAGTGGGAATATAAAACACCATCTTTGTTGGGAGAGCATGGTTTTTAAAAACACACACACACTCCTTTTTAAAAATGAAATAATACTGACTTTAGTAGCAATTACAAACAAGGAAGAGAATGATAAATGAAGGACATATTTCGGTCACGGCAAAAAAAGATTATGTGATCCTCTGAGCTACAGACTGGAAGACTGCTCCAGCTTCCCGAATGCAGGCGGTTCCCTGTCCTTCCCAACTTGGGGGGGGGGGGGGAGAGGATGGCTCTTCTCAGTCAAGGGAGAGGGAGGGCAAACAGGACGTCCATCCAGAGGACAGAGGAAGGTGGGACGGGCCATCAGAGGAGGGTGACAGTGTAGAGGGAAGAGGCACAGCAGCCTCTGTCAACGGATGCTTCTCAAAGCAGGTTCCCTGAAGGCTGCAACCCCAGCCACCACTGTAAGAACACACTGGTTTTGCAAGTGGTGAGCAGGTGGGCAGGAGCCTAGCAAAAAGATGTGCTCATTGCCACTGGCGATTATGCAAAGTGACAAGTTATTGCTTTCCTTTTCAATGACAACCCCTTTGGAAAAAGCTTTTTTTTTTAGGACCTAGGTGGGAACCTCAGGGCCTTTGTGGAACAGAGAGCAGGTCCCTCAATCTGCTCTGCAGACCCTGACCGCACAGCTTTCTGGGGTAACGTTTGAACAGACCTAGAAGGGTAACCACTTCTAGGTCAGAGTGCTGTGGGTGCCGGGCATAGTCCGGGGTCTGTACTCTGGCCTGCCTGGGCCAGGGCCCGCCGGCGCGCCAGGCGTGACTTGGAGGGAGGGGAGAGTTTTACTGAGCAGAGGCCTTCAGCCAGGGCCTCGGACTCTTTGGCCAGCTGGTTCTCGTTCTCCTCATGCTGAGACAGCTGGCGGTTCAGGGCGATGGCCTCAGCTGCGAAGACAGTCAGGTCCATGGTGCTGCTATTCCTGGGGGGCAGGACACAGAGGAGAGGGCTCAGCCAGCTCTGCTCCTGGACACTCCGATGAAGTGCTGCAGTTCTAGACTCCCACCAGGTTTTTCTGAGTCACTGTGAGCTACAAAGTAGTTCTTGCTTAAATTTATAATCTTACTTTACCAAGTCTGCCTTGGCTCCTTTGGGAGTGATCACTCAGACTCAAGAACATCCGTAGACTTGACAGTTGGGGCAAATACCCCTCCCCTGAGATCCCACAACTCTGCACACGGCAGATCAAACTCACTGTGTAGGTTGCTCTCCCCATCAGGGTAGCGGTACCAGGAGCATGTCTATGCCTCTGAGACCTGTGTATCCCCAGAAACCAGCTCAGGGCTAGCATCTAACACACATTTATTGAATAAATCTTCTAAAGTGGAGCTGAGGTTTAAAACTACCCAGGGGCATCTGGACTTAGCGCTAGAGAATAAGCTAGGAACTCAAGCTGGGCAAGAACATCCTGGGTTAGAATCAACTGAGCCTATGAACATGTTTAGACTTCCTTTTGTAACTGGCTATGAAGTTGGTCCCCAAAGGGTTTTCTCACAATGCTTTGGCCACTTAGGGAATAGCGCACTCACTAGGAATACAACTTAGTTATTAAAAAGGCTCTAGAGTCAAACAGATCTGGGCTCAAAGCCCAACTCCCAAGGCTGTGTGGTTTTGGACAAGTTAACTTGATTCCTGTTTTCTCATTTATGAAATGGGGATAATAGTAGTGCTTGTCTTTTAAATTTATGATGATTATGGACATATGAAAAATCCTTAGCACCATGTCTGGCATGGGTCTGTATTTGACTCCTGGTGACCATTACTATGACTGCACATTTATAAGGTGAGTGTTTGATAACTGGTCCCAACAGCCTTGTAGCGCTCCTGACGTCTGACACTTTTATCAATCGGAGGCAGCAGCAGGACAACAAGATGTGCGTATCCTTAGATAAGTAAGGTCTGTCTTTGGGCTACAAATGGTGATTTCCAGTTACAGGTAAGCCTATTCATGTGGATTCATATGGAGATGCAAAACAGGTTATTTCTCTTGGAAGCAGTGCAAGGAGAGGCTTGAAAGGTGTTGGAGGGCAGGAGATGCCATTCCAGTGGAGGAAAAGAAGAGGGAAGCTAGGGGGATGGGTGTGGAGATGGGGCCTGAGAGTCCCTTGAAGACGATGACACTTAAGTCTTGAGATGGGCTCCCCAGTCCCCACCCACCATGTCTGAAGGTGTGAGGAAAAGTCAAAGTCGAGGAAAGAAGGGTGTTGGGTGTGGTTGGACCATTTACCTCTGGAGGACTTGCGGCGTGGGGAGTCCCCTTTCTGGAGCTTGCTAGAATGGGAAGGACAGATGTGTGGGTAAGTGTTGCTCCCTCCTTTCAAGAGCTGCCCCCACCCAAGCCAACCCAGAGTAGGGTGACTGCTACAGCAGGAAGAGAGCGAGAGTGTGAAGTCACAATGCTCCCTGCATGGAGAGCCCTCGTCTCCTGGCTTGGCAAAGTCCTGATCATCCTCTAGGACTCAGCTCACGGGTCACTTTCCCTGTGAAATCCCCTTCTCTGCCATCTCCTAACCCAGTTTGAGGCAGAGGCAGATCCTTGTCCCTTTGTCCCTCTAGCATTTTTATATAAGCATTCATTACACGGTGCTCCCATTTATTCCTGGCTGCCTTTCCCCACTAGAACTGAAGACAAATACTGGGTCTTAGTCATTCCTGTGCTGCCAGTTTCTAGCATGTGCTGGGTATTCAGTAAAGACAGTAACTCTTGGGTGGCTGGAAATTAGCTACTTAGAGTCTATGCCTTGGAAGGAGCTCTGGTAGTGTAGTGGTCACGAGCCGGACTGCTAACCTCAAGGTTAGCAGTTCAAAACCACCAGCCGTTCTATGGGAGAAAGATGAGACTTTCTGTTCCTGTAAGATTTACAGCCTTGGGAACCCTATGAGTTGGAACTGACTCCACAGCACGTCACCACCACCACCAGAGACCTTGCCATTAGGTCCCTGTCTGTTAACAATTCTTGACTCCTTCCACTGACAGGTGACTATGGCTGGTTGGGGCTTGGCAAACCAAGAACACACAGTGACTCACATGTGGGCCTGGCAGACCCCATGTAGGGGCAGAGTTTAGGCCCTGTAACTAGCGAGGGAGAATTTAAAAAAATAAAACAAAAAATGATTCTAGTGAAGTCTGAATCCTTAGTGTGAGGGAAAGTACCACCATTTGCCTTCTAGGCCAGCTGAACCCAGGACTATGAGGTGAACTATTTGTCCTCAATGTACTTACACAGCAAGCAGGGCAGTGATGCCTTGCTTATGGTTGCTCTCAGCAAATGACATTTTTGTATAAGGAGGTAGTAGTACAGGCCCCAAATGACAATGTGAGGCTGCTTCCTGGGTCGTGTGCCTCTGCCAATAGTGGGATGTATGTGCTAACCTCCACAGGGATCTCTGTCTACTCAAGAGAGGCTCGGGTCAGCGAGGCCTTGGTCTCTGACCTGTGAATGGGCTCACTCTGGGACATGCATAGAAATTGAAACTGCTGTATGGATGTCAGTCATCTGCTGCTATGAGAACTTCCTCATGGTCATGCTGCAGGCCTAAGGAGGTAGACTGCCACTTCTCCCTGGAGCCACTTACCCCTTGCACCCATGGGTGCTTCAGAACCTGGGCAGCACTGAGTCTCTGCTTTGCATCTCGAACCAGGAGCTTGGAGATGAGGTCTTTGGCCTCACTGGAGATGTGTGCCCAGTCTTTGTCAGGAAACTCATATTTGCCTTCCTGGATGCTCTCAAACAGCTTGTTCTAGGGAAAGAAGATGCTTCTGTGGCCACAGCAGCCAGCAAATGGATAGGATTTGCTTGTCATCAATCTGGTCACCCTGGGTCCAATCAATGTAGTTGAAGTTGCAGCTAATGGCTAAATCATCACTATACAGAACACCTTTGGCTGGTCAGGGTGGCTATGCTGCTGAGAGGGCTGAATGGGAGATGATAAAGCCTTTCATACAGGGCCCCATGGATGGGATGCCAACAGTCTCCCAGTCTTGCTTCCCAACATCACCAGCCTCACACTTCTACTCCTTGGCCAGGCCATTGCTTGTGCTGTTCCCCTGGGGGAACTTCTGGAGCTTTGTTAGTTGCTGTCAAGTCAGTTCTGACTCATGGTGACCCCATGTGTGCAGAGGGGAACTGCTCCAGAGGGTTCGCAAGGCTGTGGCCTTCTGGAAGCCAATCGCTAGGCCTGGCCTCCTGAAGCATCTTTGGGTGGGTTTGAACCACCAACCTTTCACCTAGTAGTCTAGCACTTAACCATTTGTGCCACCCAGGGACTCTCTGGGAAACTTTTTCTTCTCCTTCAAGACTCAGCTGAGGTATTGTCTACGCTAACTCCTGAACTCCTAGTGTGGTGCTGTAGGATCACCACTGGACTGAATCACAAAGTTGGCAGTTCAAACCCACCAGCTGCTCCTTAGAAACCCTATACAGGGTCTCTATGAGTTGGAATTGACCAGATAGCATTTACAATAACAACTACTCTAACTCCTAGCAGGGTTGAGGGTGCCTTATCCCGGCTTTACCAGGCTCTACTGGAGTCCTGGTGTGGTGCTGTGGGTTAATATGCCAGATTGCAAAGCTGTTTGAACTGCAGGGTTGGTGGTTCAAGCTCACCAGCTGCTCCTCAGAAACCCTATACAACAGGGTCACTATGGGTTGGAATCGAATAGACAGCACTTAAAAACAACAATTGAAATCATCAGTTTACTTATCCTTTTCACTACACCAGTGGTTTGCAATGGGGATGATTCTGCCCAAGAAGACATATGGCAATGTCTGGTTCAGTTGTCACAACCGGTGGGCATGCTACCAGCATCTAGTAGGTAAAGGCCAAGGATGCTGTTAAACATCCTGCAATGTACAGGACAGTGCCCCCACAGCAAAGAATTATCTAGCCTTCAATGTCAGTAGTGTAAAGCTGAGAAACCCAAAAGAGCCCATGAGTTCCTGGAGGGCAGAGATTATGTCTCCTGTACTCCGGCAGCCTGGCCAACTCCGAGTCTGGCCCAGAACCAGTGCTCAGTGAACGCTTGTTGAAATATACAGAATCATGGCTCCTTCCAACTCATCTTTGTCCACTTCTCACAAAGAGAGGGGAAGGGACTTACCTGGCACGACACAATGAGTGGCTGGTGGATGGTGCAGGGATTAGAGTCTGGGCCTCACCTTGCCCTCTCCACACCAACTCCCCAGGGCTGCCTTAAACATGCTTCCCATTTCTTTTGTACCCTCAGAAAATAAAAGATGGTGTTTGTCCATGCAGGTGACATGTCTGGCCCTGTCAAGGGGACAATGGACTGACTCCAGCAGAGAAAGGGTCTCAGGCTGTGAACACAGATCCTTGGCTGGGAAGGCTGCCTTCACCAGCACCTTAGTTGCTCTGTAAGGTTCTCTCTGGCTCCACTTGAACTTCCCAGCTGGGCTCAGAGTGTGACAGGATGGCTATCATTACCCACTTTGGCAGATGAGGGAATAAATGCTCAGAAAGGTCTCCTCCTACCAGTGCCAGAAGCACTTGAACTCCCACCTTGTCTTCCACAGTCCACTGCTGTCCTCTACAGCCTGAATCACAGGGCTGAGGCTGCCCATAATATGGTCATCAGTACAACGGGGAAGTAGGTAGGGGAGAACACTTCCCACACGTTAGGGCCTTACTTTTGGCCTCCAATCCCTGGATCTTGTTCTCCTCTTTTTTTACTGTCTCTTGGAAGCATTGCTCTTGGCTAGGAGAGGACCAGGACATTAGAAAACTCCTTTAGATCAGGAACACTCCCCAAGCTCAGTCCTGCTTGGCAGTCCAACCACACTGACTCCCATCAGAGTCTTGCGAGCGGGTCCCGGGGCTGAACTCACCTGGCAAACCCTGCAAACCTCTCCCCTGTCCCAGCCGCAGTCGGCCCCACAGTGACCAACGAAGGGCGGGTATCCGCTCAGCATGATATAGAGGACTACGCCCAGGCTCCACAGGTCACAGCGCTTGTCGTAAAAAGTGGCCTCATCGGTGAAGACCTCCACCACCTCAGGGGCCATGTATTCTGCAGAACCACACTGTTGGTACGGGTTGGAGAGTGGGGAAAGGCAGGAGAAAGAAGCTTAGTTAGGGAACAACAAAAAGGAGAATATAATGGGAACTTACTGAGAAAGGCTGAATATTTGTAAATGGAGTCCTATAATCCCTAATGACCAACGTGGTGAGGTCCAAGTCACATTCCTATCTTTCAGGTATTTTCGAGCGGGCAGAACGCTTGGTCAGTAATCTCCAGGAAACTCCCTACCTCGTATAAGTACCTAGATGTGCCAAGAGTACTGCTCTGGGAAGACGATCTATGGAGCTCCAATGTCAGAAAACAAGGATTTCTTAGTGAAATCCTGTCCACTCACCCTGCTAACTCAGAGCAAAGAAGTGTAGGAATTTAAGAAACAAGAGACCATCAAAGCTGGGAGAGCTCTTAGAACAAACACATCTATAGACGGGAAAGCCAAGGTCTAGAACTGAGCGGAGATTAGTCCAAGACAGAATCCAAGATTCCTTCCTACTATTCTTGTACAGAAAACTGCTGAAAGGAATAAAACAAATAATAGCCCCTCCATGTTATTTCTGGTTCAGGACACTGACACACACACACACACACACACACACACACACACACACACACACACAAAAACTAATTTGATGGGAAGAGAGTAATTGAAGAAAGGATATTTTCTTTGTTATTGGCAATTAGAGTTAATGACTTTGAGAACAAAGTAGCCCAGTGTATTAAAAGCTAATACAGAAACATGCCTAATAATGTTGCTGAGAATAAGACACCATTTAAGCATATTTAAATATATAAAATTCACTTATGAAGCATGTAAATCTCAAAAGAATCATAATAATTACAGTATATGAAGAATGTACAAGTGATATATTAGGAAGTAGCTCCCCATAGCACCAGCTGGGTGTGAAATGTGAAGTCAGAAAGCAACAGCTAACTTAGTCAAGCAATCCTCGGGCATACAGTCGAGAGCCTCACAATTCCATGGAGAGAGACCCTCTGCTCCACTGTGGGGGCAAACATGGATGTGCTGTGACTTCAGCAGTTGAGAGGGGACTCACAAAGCTAGCCCCCATGCTCATACGTGAAAGGGAGTAGTGTCTGTCATTAACTGGGTCAGGAGTTGGCACTCAGTCTGAGCTATCGATACAAGTCTTTGTCTCTTTGTTAGCAGAGTAGGCCCACCCCAAACTAAAAGTTTTAATGTCAGTTTCATTAGCAGCTAAACACTAATTCTATGAGGTACAGGGTCTACCAAGTGACAATTCAGCCAGCTACAAATGGTACAGACACACTTGGTTTTTGCCTTCTGTTCAGGATTTCACAGCTTTGGGTCAGAGGGCATTACAAATGTACAAGCATCCAGAAGGGAGTGCCTAGCCATACGTACTGGAGTGGTCAGCTCTGGCGTGGTTATGGGGGTGCAGGAGCTATTCAGTTTCACCCCACTGCCCAAGTCAAAGTCACAGATTTTCACTGGAGACACCTGAAAAGGAAAACAGAAACCAAAGGTTACAAATACAACCCATGAGGAGACCACAGGACTAAATGGGGTTGTCTGACTGTCACACTGAAGGCCAGCCTTTTCTGTCAGGTTGTACTCATTCTCCTTGGGTTAACTAGAAATCACCTGAGGATTTAGCCCAACATGTCCTCTTTTCCACACTCTTTCCTCGCTGCCATTGTTGTTAGTTAATTTGACTCACAGTAACCCCATGTGTGCAGTGTAGAACTACGCTATAGTGTTTTCAAGGCTGTGACCATTTGGAAGCAGATCATCAGGGCTGCCTTCTGAGGCACCTCTGAGTGGGGCTGAATCTCCAACCTTTCAGCCAGTAGTCAAGTGCTTAAACCAACTGGATTATCCAGGAACTCCACTCTCATCTTAGTTCTCTACGCTAATGTGTTAAGACTGCTGTGAGCTTATTATGAAATCAGTATGAAAGACTTGCAGTAAACAATGATACAGTTTGCAGCACAGAAGCTAGACCAATTAATATGTATCCCTCAATAACAAACTCCTTGTAGCTCATTCAGCAGAGAGCAAGGCAACTTTGAGTAAAATCTTTGACCACCTCAGGCGACATAGGGTGACCAACTTGTCCTGGTTTGCTTGCTTGGGACTTTGGTTTTAGCATTGAAAGTCTTGTATCCTAAAACCCCCTGCCCCCTGCAGTTTTAGGAAAACTGGTACAGTTGGTCACCCTAGGTGGAGTCAACATCGCAGCCAAGTGTACCAGGACTGGACGCCGTGTCTGAGATCACAGCCCGGAGGATTCATGTCTGATGCTTACCATGCAGGCAGTCTGTTGTGTGTATCACAGTGAGTCCTTAAGGGGACAAAAAGGCTGATTCTGTGAGTCCCAGGTCAGCCATTTACCCACTAAGGCAACATGGGCAAGTCTCAGCTTCTCTCTTCCTTTCTTTCTCACCTGTTGTTGTTGTTAGGTGTCATCGAGTTGGTACTGACTCATAGCGACCCTATGCAACAGAACGAAATACTGCCCGGTTCTGGGCCAATCTCACAATTGTTGCCATGCTTGAGTCCATTGATGCTGCCACTTTGCCAATCCATCTCTCAGAGGCTCTTCCTCTTTTTCTATGACCCTCCTGACAATATGTCTAGTCCCTCCTGACAATATGTCTGAAATATGAGAGACGAAATTTGGCTATCCTGGCTTCCAAGGAGCACTCTGGCTATACTTCTTCCAACACAGATTTGTTGGTTCTTTTGGCAGCCCATGGCACTTTCAATATTCTCCTTTAACACCATAACTCAAAAGCATCAATTCTTCTACAGTCTTCCTTATTCACTGTCCAGCTTTCACATGCATATGAGGTTACTGAAAATACCATGGCTTGGGTCAGGTGCACCTTTCTCACCTAGCTTCTTAATTTTTGTTTTTTTCAGTCATAAAAGAGAGGCAACAAACCTGTGCCATGAAGATTATATGCAACAAAGGCAATGGAGTACATGATAAGCCGGAAGCACTGTTAACAGTGTGGTTCAGAGCATTCCTGGAGTTGCAGGGTCAGGTTACCTTATTTTTAGTCTAGCCTCTACTACCTACTACCTGAGTGACCTTGATCAAGTTTCTTACTGTCTCCGAGCAATTTTGATTCCCTTAGCCATACAATGAGGATGATAATATTTTCTACTTATTAATACTTTCTAAATACTAAATGAAATAAGGTAACTTAGCACAGTACGTGTCACAATACAAGCAGTGAACAGATACTAATGTCAATTATTAATAATAATTATACTATCAAGTCCTGTGCCAGAACCATTGATAGGAAGGCACAGGATCTTACTGAAACTAACGATTATTCCCCACCAAAGAGTTCTAAGTTGATGCATGTATTTGCTAACAGCATTCCTAATTTATTAAGCCGTGGTTTAGTCCAGTCCAAGACATGTGTGCTCATGCCACACAAGTGCACGTCTCCATACACACAGGCACGAACGTGGGTCATCCAAACCACCAATACCTAACTCTCTCCTTAGAATCACAGAATTTGTCAAACTCACACACATTTTTGGAAATACAAATATTTCCATTTACTAGTAGATTGAGTTAGGTCAAGTCTTAAAGTAGGTTGCATTTGTTTAATCAAGTGTGAATTTTTTTTTAATGGCCACCTTTGGAAAAAAGAAAGGAAATAAAAATCCTTTTCAAGAACTTACTAATTATTCCAGTTGTGGAAACCATCTGGCATACACACTGTAATGGAGCCTCATTTAGGTACAGATATGCTTTCTGTAAGATTGACTTGTTGATGGCTCGCATCAACTGCTCTGGATTGGAAAACATTAATTTTGTGCCAGTATCACATAATATATACAAACTCTCAGGCTTAAATTAATCTCACCGATGATGAGGAACACCCAACTTGGAATGCAGGGCCATTGTATTATATGAGGTATTAACACAGTTCAAGTTGGTATCTGAGCCTGAGAGGACTGTCAACAATCGATGCTGAAAGTAAAGGGGGCTTCCTCAAATCAGTGTAAACTGTAAGGTCCCAACTCAGATCCAAAGTACCTTTTCTGGAGACTCACACAAGATATTTTCTGGTTTCAGGTCACGGTGAGCAATGCCTGAAATGACAAAGAGTAAAGAAATAGTTAACACATGCACATAATTATCAAACATTCCACACACAATTAATTTTTTCCAAATGCTGTTGTTCGCAGATTAATTCCCAATTATGGTACATTAAAAAATCAACGAGCTGCAGGAGGCAGAAGCAACCAGAGACACAGACCCAAAGCACAGTTGATTCTGCAAGTTCTTTTGAAGCAGGGACTTTAGAAGTCTGGCAGGGATAAGAAGGGCTAAATGAATCCAGTCAGCCTGCCTTTCAGCACTGCAGTGACAACCAACAGTAAGAAAGTCTAATGCAAAGCAGAGCAAAGAGCTCTGCAAAGTCAATGCTGGGAAGAGCAATGCAGAAATAATTAGTGCCTTGTTTAAATCTCTCCGGGGGCTTGACTGCTCTACCTCATTTCTTCTTGTGTGGCCAATTAAAAAAAATGAAAACATTCCTTCAGTGGGACTCCCTCAATGTTCAGGGGATCAAGTGTTAGTGAACAAATCTCCCAAAGCTTGTCTGATTCCCTCCTTGCCTGCTCTGCGTGGCCAAGACAGCCCCATGGAAACACAGCAAGGGCCACTTTGGTTTGAGGGGGCTGTTCTGAAGAGGAGCCTCCCTTCCTTGCTTTTTGGTCAGAACTTCTCTCAGGAAGGAGTCTGCAAATAGCAACTGACTCCATGAGGGGATAAAAGTTGCCAATCTGGGCAAGAAGACACCTGGGGAAAAGTGCCTTCTAACTGAAGACAGGGACAAAGAACCAACTCATTGGGCCATGGTGTTCTAGAGGCAGACTCAAAAACCAGCAGAATGCACAACGCAGAGACTGAAGGGCTGGAGGATCAAGCAAAAGTCAGACAGAGGATCTCAGGTTGGCAGGAGTAGGTGGGAAAAGCCGAATCTGCTTTACTGAAACTCTCTTGATGATCAACTTAGGCATCCTCCACTACCTTCTGGGTGGCAAAGGCTCAGTTCACCTGAGGCACTTCCCTGGAGAGGAAACACCTGAGCTTGAACAGGTTAAGTAACTTCATCAGTCACCTAATTGAATGAGAACCCAGAGCAACTCAGTCCAGGCTGCACAAATTGAATCGGGCTACAGGCCGCCACACTAAAAGTGAAAGATACTTTCCATTACAAGTGCTCCCACAGAAGGATCACGAGTCACACACACGGAGTCTTACTCTCCAAATAGGTGGCAATGGCCCCGTGGCCCCCCAGCCTGAGAACTCAGCGAGCCCTGCTGTAATAACCGGCCTGCCCGTGTGAGCTCACCAGCCATTGGTGCCCAGGTAGGTTCATTTCCCAGAGGTTAAGCGGCAGTGTGACCATATTTAAAAAGTATGAAACTTGTTTCAGGGCTGACCCATTCTTGCTCAATTCATCTTCCCAGCATGAAGTTATTTAGAAAACAACCAAATTCAGCTGGAAATCGTTTTTCATCCCCTCCAACTCTCGTCACGTGGGCAGCTGGCCAGCGAGATGTTAATAGGCACTTCAGAACTCCTAAGACACCACCAGCCCCCATTCCCTTTGGTAAAAATAATAAATAAATAAAATAAAACTGCCTTTACCCTCCTCCAAGGTATGGGTCTTGTAAAAAGAGTGACCCAGTTTTGCAATCTATGGAGGCAGCTTGGGGAGCAGTTGTAAATCTCTGTCAGGCAGGCGTTACCTACATGCATCCCAGCTTTCAGAAACAGAACTGCTGCTATTCATCATGCTGTGGAATTTCCAGCCCAGGTGCGAGTCAAGCCCCCCATTGTGGGCGCTGTCAGTACGGAGAGAGCTCTTTTCAGCATGAGAGGACTCCGTGAACCTGAGCCGCCCCCCACATGCACACCAGTCTGCACTTTGCCATGTAGTGCAGTTGGCACTGAGTGGGATGCATACAAGGCAGGCAGACAAATGGTCCTAAGCACTCATCACTACTGTGGTTGGCCAGTATCCACAGAGTTAAGGGAACGGAGCCAAGTTATTTCTTTTGTTCCCACTGCCCACCAGACAAATACTTTTCTTCAAGGGAACTGATATTAGGGATAAAAATCGGTAAAGAATTGATATTAGGAATGAGCGTGGAGGAAATAATAAGAGTCCTGGTGTGGCGCTCTGGGCTAATGCGTCAGACTGCAAAGTCATTTGAACTGCAGGGTCAGTGGTTCAAGCTCACCAGCTGCTCCATGGAAACCCTATACAGGGTCACTATGGGTCAGAATCGACAGGACAGCACTAAACAACAACTATGTGCCAAGCACCATGCTCCATCTGTGGTGGTGGTGGTGGTGGTGAACTGCCCCAGGGTTTCCTTGGCTGTAATGTTTATGGAAGCAGAGTATTAGGCCTTTCTCCCGCAGAGTGGGTGTGAGCTGGCAGCCTTTCAGTCAACAGCTGAACTCCAACTCCTTAACCGCTGTGTCCCCAGGACTCCTTAGGCTTCATCTATGTTGTTGTTGTTAAGTGCCATCGAGTTGGGTCCGACATACGATACATATAAATACACAGGCACAACGACAAAAGGGAGTTACTACATATACAAGGTTTAGAATAGTGCCTGTTGTTGTTAGTTCCAACTCATAGCAACCATGGAGAGGGTTTCCGAAGCTTTTAAAAAATCTTCATGAGAGCTGAAAGCCACATTTTGCTCCCTTCTGGTTCACAGTCCAGGGCTTATCATATGGAGCCACCTCACTCCCCAGAATATAATGCCTTTGTTGTTGTTGTTGAAGGTTATCGGAGTCGGTTCTGACCTATAGCCACCCTGTATAGGGTTTTCGAGGAACGACTGGTGAGTTTGAACTGCCTTTGTTGTTAAGTGCCGTTGAGTCAGTTCTGACCCATAGCGACCCTGTACAGGTTTCTGAGGAGTGACTGGTGAGCTTGAACCGCCGACCTTACAGTTCAAACGGCTTTGCAGTCTGGCATATTAACCCACAGCGCCACACCAGGACTCCTTGAACCACCTAGCACGTGATAAATGCTAATATAGTGTTTGCAACTGTCACTGATATGATCTCTCTGACGTCTCACTGTGACTCTATGCGGTAGGCATTATTATTGAGAAAGTATATAGCTAGATAAAAGGTGAAGAAGCCGAGTTCCCTTTTCCCATAGCACTGCACTGCAGTTAGCTTCATCAAATTAAAAAAAAAAGTATGTAATAGTCAAACATATGGAAATGTAAAAACAATCTGCAAGGAGATTTAACTCACTACAAAAGTTCTTCAATAATCAGTCCTAGGAATGGAATCATACACTGAGGTACAAGGGTCTTCAAAAAGTTTTGGGGAAAACAGAATGAAAAGACAATGGCATTTTCCCACAAAATTTTTAAAGCCCCCTAGCAACATTCAAACAACAGCAACCTGCTATTTACCACTGTGATAATCAACTGATACCACAGATTTACCATGGTAAACAGAAAAAAGCATTTGTCATTTATTGTGAGCAAAATATAAAACAACACATACACACACACAATCATACCAATTTTGAAAAGAGAAAAAAATGGCATTTTAAAAGACGAGAAAGGGTAACACTGGTAGTAAGCATAAGCTTTACATTCTTCATCAGATAAAAGAAAAGAAGTATATATGTAGGGATAGAGCACAAATGCTCCAAAATGGTCACTGTAAAGTCAACTCAAACCGTACCTCCTATCCCTTCCTGCTCCTCTTGCCACACATATTGAAACTCTTTGTTCTCTAGGGAAAGGCAGCCTGGCACCTTGTGGTTTTCCTACCTTTTCTGTGTTCCTCACACCACCCTTCACTGCCCTGACACATATGGAGCTTGGATACCCCATGATATAAGAAGACCCTAGCCCACACCCCTTGTGTAGAAAATCTTGCCTGTCCAGCTGGCCACAACTAGAAACAGCTGCTGTTCTTGTCTTGGTTAGTAAGTCTCCCTGTTTGTAAACCCTCTTTTCTTTTCTGTAATAAACTAATGTCTCTCAGACTGACTCCTGGTTGCTTTTTTGGTTCCTCAGCAATTACATATCCAGAAGGATTTTCCTTCCTGGGTTTGAACCCAAAAGCTGCAAGTGATCCAGAAGGCCAAAAAGATCAGGACTCTTGAGATGAGATGGGAGGGCAAAAGGACTCTGTAAGGGACCACTGGACCAATACACATTCTTATCAATGGAGAAAAGATTGAAGTTGTCAAGGACTTCATTCTTCTTGGATCAACTATCAACACTCATGGAAGCAGCAGTCAAGAAATCAAATGGCATATTGCATTAGGCAAATCTGTTGCACAAGACCTTTTGAAAGTGCTGAAGAGCAAAGATGTCAGCTTGAGGACTCAGGGGCGCCTGACCCAAGCCATGGTATTTTCAATAACCTCACATGCATATGAAATCTGGACAGTGAATACGGAAGACCGTAGAAGAATTGATGCATTTGAGTTATGATGTTGGAGGAGAATACTCAAAGTGCCATGGGTTGCCAAAAGAACCAACAAATCAGCTGCAGTGGAAGTGCAGCCAGAGTGCTCCTTGGAGGCCAAGATGGCCAAACTTTGTCTCTCATACTTTGGACATATTGTCAGTAGGAACCAGTCGCTGGATAAGGATATTATCTTTGGTAAGGTGGATGGTCAGAGAAAAAGAGGAAGACCCCCAGCGAGATAGACTGGCAATATGGCAGCATCAATGGGCTCAAGTGTGGCAATAATTGAACAGGTAGTGTTTCGCTCTGTTGTGTATAGGGTCGCTGTGAGTCAGAACTGACTCAATGGCACCTGACAACAACAACAAGGGGAAATCCTAGGATGGCTATTGGCTTCCATGTTTGCTAGAGACTTGGGGACTGACTTGTGAGTACGGGATGCTCCCAAAACTCTACAAGAATGGATCTCCTACAGGGATTTGGGGGTCTATAAGGCTAAGAAGGACTCTAGGGCACTGGTTGTCTCAGTAGCCTGGCCCCTCCTACACACTGTCCATGCTGCTATAGAAGCAAAGATGGTTGTACGGACAGAAGCCCAGTGATTGAAGGATGAGCTACA